GCGAAATTACGTTCCGTACAACATATTATCCGTTAACATACACAATCGCCAATAGGGAACTGCATTTTCTGTTTCCATAGATAGAACAAAAAAGCGGTCCCAGGACTGGTCCCTGAGACACTCTTGAGTGTGCAGCAGTTTTCTTCAATGCATGACCCTATTTTACAATCTGAAATCTATCATATAAGCAGGACCGAGCTAGTTCGAAAAGACAATTAGAGAAACCAATGTTTTGCAGCTTTATAACGTTATAAGTAGTATCCGACGGTTTATTTTATCAAAGGCCTTGGAGAAATTGAAAAAAGGTCAGAAACAGCTTGAGTAAATGCACATAGATGCGTAGACGTAGAGCGCCCGTTAAGAAACGCACGCTAAAATTCTGTAATCCTGTTATGACGATTAATAAACAGGAGAAATTTATGCACACATCAGCGAGATAGATCTATAATTATGTATATCGTTTCTTTTGCCATTTTTGAAAATTGGTTTTATAACAGATACTTTCCAGATCCGGACACTAGATTTTGGTTTAATTTTCTTCAAATCACTTTTGCGAGAAATAATTCCAAAATCAGCCCGTAAAGCCATGGTCGGGCCTGCCCTCAACTGGTTAAGCGTATCGTTTTTACCTGGTTTCTCGGAGTTTGTGAGCGACAATTCACAAGACGAAGGCATTTCGAAGTGCGACAGTGATCTCCGATAAGTCTGTTTTACGTGTATTTTTTTCGTAATAACTGAATTCATTGCAATAGTAGACCTCTGAAATTTGAAATGACAACTTAAGATTAACGATGGTATAAAATTAAAATCAGAACTCTCGTGAGAGTTGCTCTCCAGTGGATACGTACCTTTAGGCCGACCATAGCTTTACGGGCTGATTTTGCAATTATTTCTCGCAAGCGCCCTCTCAAGTAGATACGTACCTTAAGAGTTCACTTTATAAATTGATCGCCAAATCGGGCATGTAATCAAATGAAATATTCATATCAGCGCCGTTGTCATTATTGTAATTTTTGCTGAAATGATCCGTAAAGGTATTAACAATTTGGTTCGGATTCGTTAGAGGTAGATCATCTGGAAAGAAATTCCATTACATTTTTTTTTTAAGTTATTAACATAAAATCAGCATTTCTTGGGTTCAAATTTAACTGAGGACGGTTTGTAATGTAGTTAAATAAGCAATTATTGTAAGCATTTCTAGCTTCCAGCTTAAGTTCAGATTGAATATACTTATGTTAAATTCTTGTTTCTGCGTTACTTATTACTAGTTCTAAATTTGTGTAGTAAACGCCATTTGCTTCTCAATTTATTAAGAATTGCATGTGTGTCCCAGAATGGAAATGACGATCTGGGGAAGTAACTTTTTGGTACAAAATTATCGAGAGCTGTTTGATGCTTATCACAAAAAAGTGAGCCCGCCAAGTTAAAGTCACTAATAAAAGAGATAATAAACCAGTCTGTCTGAGTTAGATAATCATATACATTAGGAAAATCCACCTTCCTAAAGTTCCATTGCTTGTCACTACATGTGTTCCGATTATTTACTCCAACGACAACATTGACTGTGAATTGAATCAAATTCTTTAAAAAATAAATTCATTTCAATAAATGCAAATCGCCTCCTAGCAACTGACAATACTCCTTCACTCCTGGAAAGAGAATATTGACAAGGTAGGAAAGAAATAGAAGCAGATGACTCCTTATAGAAAGTGATGGAAGAGCTGACTGATGACAATAATAAATAGACATTAGAGGAGTGCTTGGCGTGTAGTGGCAGAAATTGCTATATCATCTGGACCCATTAAAGAAGAGATCGTCTCTAAGTTGATTTAGATAATGTTTATGATACATGCATTTATTATAATCCCATGGAAATTTCATTCTACCCTATAAAATTTTATTAGCAATAACGAGACGGACAGTAGTACAATAGCAAGAGATATTTACAACTTAAAGTTGTCGCGTGCCGATAATTCCCAGATGTTAGAAAGCAGAATAATCCAGGTCCGGACAGGGCCCATCGTTCGAAAATGAGCATTATTTTATGAGTACAACTAGAGTTCCCTCAAACAAATAAGGCGTTTATGACTTCACACCAATTTGACTCCCATTATAATTCAATAGGCCGTCACAACCGGTGTCTTAAACCCGCTCACCGATACCTACCTGAAAAGACCTTTTCTGGTAAAAGCACAGGGCAGGACTGAGTTTTGCATTTACTGACAACTGCGCCTTTCCAATTTTTATATAACAGTTCCTTTGATGATGCAACAAACATTTACAGCTTATAAGACTCAGCATATTACTTTTCTATTTTTCTCTTCTTCACACTCAGTTTTTTTTAAATACTCATTTTTATGCACAGTGGATGTTTTCGCTTTTTGTTTTTCTACCTTCAGGTTTAAAAAACATGTACATATTGCTTTAGCAACGATAAGAAGAAAATTTCACATCAACGTAGACCTTACGTCAAATTTTAGCAACATAATTATACTTCTGATTTTTTTGGGATAACTTTAATTAGATTTTTGATTGTGATAAATACATATATTATTTTCTATTCTTCTCCTTTCTTTTCTCTTAAATATAAAAATGCGTGTTTATTGGTCCCGTATGCGTTCGTAAATCATTTATCCAATTGAGATGGAATTTTGGTGAGTTACTTATTGTCCATACGCCCACCAAGGTTTTCAATTAGTACAATCATTTTACAATTTGTTTGTGTTTCCTGCATATGAGTGCGCATGCTCGGTAGAATTGAACTTAAACAAATGCAAACAAATGCAAACAGTGATATTTCGATTGTTGGTTGATATTAGATAATTAGATACCTATTAATAAATAAATAAATAAATATCACACGCATTAACTTTATTATAGTGAACCAAGAGGTATAAGGTTATATGGCCATCATAAAATTAGTTGACCGCAAATAAATACCCCCTTTGTGTGGTTCGCACTAAGCTTACCGGTTGGCAATAAATCATCTTCTAAACATTTCTTGCTCATATTTAACAGGGCCGGCTTTCAAAGCGAGTGGTTATTTCGGAACCCTCAGCGGCTGCAGGTAGCAAAGAAATAGTGGAGTGGTGGATTTTCATATTTAGTGAAAGCCGCCCCTGAACGAAACCGCAAGAGCCGGTCGAGCTGTAGTGGACTCGTTATTTACGACCCTAAAACCTTTTCTATTGTAAACAACTTAACTTCGACACAATGGGATGATTTTATGATGGCCATATAACCTTATAGCTCTTGGTTCACTATACGTAGCATTGCAACGTATGGCAGGTAATAGCTAATATTTAATAAACCATATTGTTACGTTGTACGGGTGACTGAAATTGGCGTGGAAAAACTCAACAATTTATTTCTTACTAACTGAATTTACCTAACTAACTATTATACGATTATGCTTAAAATAATTCAGGTGCTTCTTGTCTGCAGTTTCTCGACACTCTGACTGAATTCGACTGAATAATGAATCATTCCCGATGGTGGCCTTTATTTAAACTCGTACTTCCGTCTAGATGTCGGGCATTCGGGGTCTTTCTGGATTGCCGTTCGCGAACTGCTTCCAGGCTTTTCTGTGGCGATCCGCCACTTCAAGACTTTCCTCTGGACGCCGCAATCGAGACCGATGACTCCCCACCCATCAAGGCCGGCCGTGCGTATTTTAGAAGCGAGGGAACCCATAGGCGTCGTACCGGGGCGGCGTCTGGGTTTATTTCGTAACAATATATTCATAAAAATTAATCTATTCTAACAATTAGGAGTAGTATTTAGTACAGTTATTTTAAAAAATTAAAGATATTACAACTTTTATTTTCAGCTCATGATTTTGTAACTCGCATTTGCATATTTCAGGTCCACAGTGATTTTATAACGAGACGCATTAACACTTTAGGTACCGACGCCCAGTTTATTTAGTAAAAAATGAAACATAATCTATTACGTTTGTAGGTAAGCAGAGAAAAATGTTGTGCCTCGGTGGGAGTCGAACCTACATCTCTATGCTTTCCGGGCAAGTATCTTAACCACTGGACGACGAGGCCACTTACCTTTCTGTGCTTACCGACGTGTTATTGTGCCGCCACACGTTCTTTGCTACTTTGAAATATTTATAATTTTTAGTAGGTTTTAGTAGGTTTTAGTTGTGTTAGTGTAAAAAAATCTAAAATACTGTTTAAGCAAAAGATTATAAATTACGTATCTTCACTTACAACAATAAACAAAAACAAAAATAGAATATATATTTTTCAAAAATACTACTTTAAAAAAGAACATCATTACTGGTAAATTGTTGCTGTGACATTATATTTCTCTAGCATGGCTTACTCTCAGGAAATAAAAGACGTGCATGTCTGGCTGGTGGTTACACTCGTAAGGAGCAAAAACTTGTACTTGATAATGATTCAATTTTCACCGAATGCGTCACTATGTGTAATGTAGAACATTTCAATGCTGGAAAATGGAAAGCTTTGTGGTATTCTGCTGCCATGTTATAGTTTAGGAAATTTCATTCTACCCTATAAAATTTTATTGACAATAACGAGGCGAACAGTGGTACAATGGATTCTTAATTATGGGGCTGGCCATAGCCAGCCGGCACTTAGGCCTCGCCTTTGGGTCCATTGTACCTTCCCCATGTCCATATCGGACAGTGCTACAATGGTAAGAAATATTTATGGCTCACACCAATGGATCCGTATTTGTCGGAGAACATTTAGCAGGTAGTTGTACTCATAAAATAATGGTCCTTTTCGTTCGTGTACGGACCTGGATTATTCTGCTTTCTAAAGATCTGGAGATTACTGGCACGCGACAACTTCAAGTTGTAAATATCTCTTGCTATTTTACTACTGTCCATCTCGTTATGGCCAATAAAATTTTGCAGGGTAGAAAGAAATTTCCCAGACTATACTTCCTATTTAAATAGCAGGTGTGTATTTTGATACGAATCTTTATCACCTTACCAACAAAACAAGAAAGATCAGAACAAATTTATGCCATACAAATTCTATCAGTTCAATAGGATAATGGGAATACCTCTAAAAATGAAGCGTTATACATTTTTTATAATCAGAACCCAGACCAAAGCGAGTGAACAGTGCAATTGCGCTCTTGAATCCCGCATCGAAGAATTTAGCCTTCAGGTGATCACAAAAAAGGGTGAGTTATCCTTTAAATTCACCCGAATCCAACAGTGTTCATACTACATATTTGCAATGGTGGTCCCATTGGAATCTGTTTTACGGAGGAAAATTTAAAATGAACAATAATCATAATTGTTAACTTACATACATACCGTTAATCCAGGTTAAACATTTTAACTCTACGTGCAAGCCTATGGACCACTTGAAGGTTTTTTATACACGCTCTGCAAAAATGTAATGTTTAGTCTGAACAGCAGCAGTGATTTCTTTGTACTTTAGATGAAATTTAACTAATGCGTAATTTTTTTAAACACAAACCTTAAATTGTTTGTAATGAGCGGTGTAAATTTTAGTCATAGTTTATCAGATCACAATAAGAAACATGAAAATTCTCAAGAAATTGTTGTCACTGATCAAGAAAGAAAAACGAAACACCAAAAAACATACTTTGATGTGTTTTTTGGTGTTTATGAATATCGAATATTATATTTTCTCCATGTGTCACAATTTGTACAACACAAAAGTGATGGTTCTACCCGTCTGTTGTTTTTCTGTTATCTGTTTTCAATTAGACAAGTAACTTTTGAAATTACCGAATAGATTACTGTGAAATTTTACAATTTATAATACAAACTACATCATTCTGAAATATTATAATTTTTATTCTTAACTATAGCCGACGCAGTAATAAATCGAAAACGTGGTGACGCTGTATTTTTTTTCAAGGATTTTATAGTGACATTGAAACTTGTAACATAAACGCCTCAATTTTTTTGGTTGTATACTAGAAAGTTTGGGTGAAATATCCCACATGCACATTAAACTATACCGGATGTCTGGAAAATGGCAGATTAACTCTACAGTACGTTATGAATGAGGGCGTCGGGAGTCTCAAAAAATAATAAAAAAAATCAGAAGTAAAAGTAAACACTGCACGTACCTAATGCGTGAATATCTTCGGCTTACTTTCTGACTTCCTAGTAACGACTGTGACTGAAATTCACCTTTTTTATTTTTTTACGTCAATAACCATAATAAACATTTTTATGGTCATTAATCATTGTGCATTGTTATTAATCAAACCAATTGTTATTTTTCATTAATAAATAAGAAAAACATTTAATAAAATAGGCATAAATTATAAATAAAAACATAACTAAGAACAAGAAAAATCCATGAAAGTATAACCGACTAAACACTAGCAAAGATGTTCAAAATGTGTGCCTTGTGTCTGTAAGCAAGCTTGTACTCGTCTGGTGCAATTCTCATTTATTTTTGCCAACATATTATCATTTACTGAGTTCGGTATTTCTTGGATTCCTTCAACTAATGTGTGAAAATTTTGATCATTTTTTGTAAAAGTTGCTCATCAGTAGACAGCGGATTTCTGTCGGGCTACGTCACGATTATAGGTGGGGACGCGCTGGATCGCCGGGACTCAGTAGCGGGTGATAGATAATCACTGAATTTAATAGGTACTAATTCCATAAATATAATTAACGATTTATTAATCAAACGGCTAAGTAAATGAGAACGGGAATTAACAGCAGAGTGCAACGAAACAGCGTTATTCTAATCTCAAATAAACGAAGTGCAGTCCGTAACTGCAATGAATTCGCATCCCGTACGAGCCGTACCGAGTTTGGCCTTGCCTAGCCCGACAGAAATCCGCTCTCTAACTCATCAGTCCACAAAATTTTGTAATCTAATAAAAATTGTCACAAAGGGCAAACAGACAGACACACAGCCAAACATACAGAAACGGGAGATCTGTTTTGTTTGTATTTTAGGTGTCATATCACATCGAGAAAATATGAAAGTAGCCAATTGCCTGATGGACTCCTTAACTTACGCTCGGGAAGTAACAACACATTATATATTAAACTTGAAAAAAAAGTTATAATTCAAACACTTGTAACACTCATGGAAAAATTTAAAAAACATTGCAAATTAATTTCCTTCTTTTTGGTAATTTCATAAGCTTTCAATGTTGTTACTTTTATTTTCATTCACGGTCCTTGTATCCTTGGTCTCGGATAATGATAAATAGAAATATAAAACATGAACTTATTAATAATTAAGGCTGAAAAAATCAGAATTCAAAACTAATGTTAACATTTGGACATGTACTCTGGTTAAAGCTTCTTAATAATAATAAGAATTTCAAAGAAAAACCTCTCATCAACTCATCTATCTTCGATTGATTTTTACCCATCCGTTCCATCGTCCCAACCGCAATTCCGTCATATTGGTTGCCTATTTGATGAACTCTCGCTAATGATCTCACATTTGACCTACTTTCCGCCGCCTTGCAATTTAAATATATTCCCTCGACTAATTACCGCCCGCTCATCCCCGCCAAAAACTTGTCCCTCCTCAAGTGTCCGCCTGTTTATTGTAATCCTATCAGTTCTTCCTCAACAAAAATAAACCTGTAAGTTCTACTCCGCGTTTACGTAAATCGGCATCTCGCGAAGCAGCGTTTATCGACCTTACCGTGCGAGATCACAACCCGACTTCCCGGCATGCGCACTAAGGATCCTCCGGGTAATTCATTAAAGTACGCTCGGATTTATTGTTGATTTAAAGTTTTCCAGCACTAACGCCGTCAAAGAGGCGGCAATCGATAACGTTCTCTATCGGGTCCGGTGTCAGTCCGGTGAAGGGGTTTTTGGACCCGGAGGAGTCGATCCGGCGGCAATTAGCGCTTTTCCGGGATCACCTGGCGTTCTTCTTTGCGTATATTTGTCATGTGGAAGCGGAAACAAGATGCAGTAAGCGCGCGGCGAAATTCTCGTGTCCCCCCCTCCAGAGCGTGTAAGCCACAGGTCATTCAACCCGCGCAGTCCCGGCGAACACAGCAGCAATGTACTCACCGTTTCTCGTACATGGTGTCCTTAATTCATGGTACTTATTTCATATTCCAGATTCTTTCCTAAACGGACCCGCAAGTCGCTAACCGCAACTAAAACCCGGTAAAATCAAAAGACTCGACGCAATCGAGGCGGCTTTGACAATTATTGTTTATAGTGATCAAGTGTGCAGTGATACTTCAAGCTTTCCCTTTCGAGATGGAACTTTCCCGGCTCACTCGCAGGTAAATACACGATTCTCCCCGGCCTGCTTGATCTCCAAAAATGCGTAGGCCCTTTCTCATCCTCGTTCTCTTCCAGGGCCCGCATAATTTTTTAAGGAAAATGATCGCCACCCCCACGTTGCTCTACGCCAGTTAAGATAAGCGAAATAAGAGCGCCGAAAAAAATGTAAGTCCAAAATTTCGCATTACAAAAAAATTGCCAACGTACGTAGCGAACGAGTAACATAGCATCATTTTTCAGTCGATTGTGTTTGAGCTTTCAAAGGTCATCGACCCCGCTTAATGTAGGTCAGTAATGGTGGGCGTCTACACGACTTGCGCAGTAAATCCAAAGTGAGCAAATGTCATTGCAATCGTGTGGAACTTCTAATTTTGTTATTACACTTTTTAATTGATTATGCCATGTTCATGAGAGTTGGCTTTCATGGTTTGCGTAATGTGAAAACGGGGAACTGTACGTCGGAAAATTTGTTGGATGCAATGTGCTGGGAGAATCAATCGATATTTAATTCATAAAGCTGGTCTATTTATAAAATGCTGTTCAACCACCTTTGCGGTCGTGAATATTTTGATAACTTATCAGTTTTTGGACAGTGTGAATGACTCCTAATTTTATCGGTCGAAGAAAATGTACCGTGTTTACCTCGTCGGTGTAACGACGGACGAATTAACTACAATCGAAAATATTTCACGACGCCTTCTACATTGTTGTTCAATGTTATCTCCAAGATTAAATACTTTATGTTCTTTTCTTAAATTTATTTATTTATTTGGAATGTGGTTTTTTAACTTGGCTGTAATTTTTAAAACTAAATCACGAATATTTACTTTTTTTAATACCGGCCGGCTTTAAACATGCCAATAATGTTTAAGTAATGACATATTAAAATATATTTGCTTTCTCTTATTTTTATGTTACTACCAGATACCGTGTTTGCGGAGTACGCAATATTTTCACGGTTGTCTCATCTTACGTGTTCAGAGAAAAAATGCTTGGTATTGTAAAGTAATACATATAATAAAATATTAAATATTTTCATAATAATTAAATACATTTTTTATATAAATATTAATCGTATGTAGAATTCTCATAACGACATTTTTATAGACGTAGTTCAGTTGTTTAAAAATGTAATATTTTTATGATTACTTAAAGCTTTTAGTTGCACTATATAATACACAATTTTGTAAATCTAATCCATAATACATAATATAAAAGATGTGGTGAATATGAGTCCTGTCAGTTTAAGCTGTATGGATGATTTATGACTTAACCGGTTTGGGGGGGGGTTCTAGGTTTTATGATAATTTGTACCCTTCCGCTGCGGTTATTAGCTCAGTCTTCGTTTATAGTAAAAAAATAACACTTATTAATCTACATAATTACCGTATCACTAATTGTTTTGTAATACTGAAATAAACATATTTAAAAAATGTAATACGCTGTTTATGTGAAATTTGTACTGAAAAACAGTTTCCATTGCATTTCATACACGGTGAAGATAGGAAGGACAATCATTTGTACTAGAAAATCGTTATATGTAAATAATAATACGCGTTTCCTAATTTCAAATTACGAATAGTTCATGGGTTATTGTTTCTAATATCAATCTTTAAAAATTCAAATGTGAAGTTGCAAAATCATTTTGGCGCTGATCATAAGTGATAGGACATTTTGCGTAGGAGTCTATTAAAATCATTCCACTGTACTGAAAACCGTTGGATGATTTTTAAATTTCTCCCTTACAATTACACTATTGACGTACGCATCATGGCCAGCTAGAGCAATAATTTAAAAAAACACAGGGTATTATATGGCATACAATTATTCGTCTTCTAACTCTCAAAAAATATATACTACATATTTTTTATTTAAATTTAAAGAGTGCAGATGAGTAATCAAATCATGCTGATTGATGTGATAGTGACGCACCGTGGCACTGAAATGTCCAAACTATGACATGCAGGTAAAAACTTAAATGGTGTGGAATGTGGAGTGACCCTCTTTTGAGACTATTTCATTGGACACAATATACCGAAATTTAAAAAAATCAACGATGCAAAAAAAAAGAAAAAGAAACTAAAACATAATATGTAATCTTAATAAATGCCCGATAT